GCCTTAAACTAGCTCATATTATTTCTTCAGAAACACATAAATCAACGAGAGGTGGTTGACATCTAACATCAGCTTTTTGGGCTGTGATGAAAGGTTGCTAATAGCTTTCTTTTGCATTTTAATGTTGCACATTTTGTATGTACTGGGATGAATCAACATTTAAACTAGCTAAATAGCTTTTGCCAAATGAGCCTTTTAAAGGTAAAAAGGAACAGGAGCTGAGACAGAAAACATCTTCAACCGCTCCAATCCACTTTGTGATTTCAATTGTTAAGCTGATCGTGTCTGAGCTGAGATCGAGTCATTTTCAGTTTAATACCAAAGGAGAACATTTACCGTAAAATCTGGTGTATAAGACACATTTTTAAAACTTGTTTTTTCACCGAAATAGTGTGTGCATCTCAAACATTGATAACTGCATCTGAGGGATCAAGCAATACATTTGAATATCTATATATATCTCTACAGACTGAACATAGATCTAAGAAAGATATCGGCCCATATATCTGTATCTGATTTTATTCTGTACCCCATATCGATATCGGTATTGGCCCCAGATATCTCATATCGGTCGACCCTCGTTCAGAGTGCATGGGGGTTTCAAATGACTTGTATAATGCCCACAGACTTCCTGCAGACTCATACGTTATGTCTTACTGTCACTGATTAATTGCTTCAGGTTCACTGAACACAAAGAACTCACTGATTTATTCATTTAAATAATAATGTGTGATGTGTTACTTTGTGAATCATTTGAATAATAATAAGTGTTAGAAAACCAACAGCACATTGTTCAGCGTTGAAATGAAATGCCGTTTTAATGCACCCAGAGGTTTCCTGCTTTCATCCGTACTGAGGTAATAACCACACTTCATATGAATACAATCCATATTTATTCAATTTAAGGATTGCACCGCTGTCCGCTGTTGTGCATGATATGCATAATTCTTTGTGCGGGGCCTTGAATCCTCCATTTCCCTCTGGACAATAAGTGTTATTGTATTCATGTGGAGTCATCTCATATTCCTGACAAAGGACTGTGACAGCACTTTTCCACTCCGGGAGCTGTTGACTGATTCCCTGTTGTGTCCCTTTTGTTCAAGTCAACAATTTGATTGTCGCATCGCCGCTCAATGACATTCATATTCTGCTGCCATGTCTGTGCATGGCTAAACAAAATCCAGCTCCGTACATTAAAAGGGTTTGAATTTAAAGATGCAGACAGAGCTTCATCCTTCAAAATAAAATCCAGACTTCTCCTAAAGTGAAGCTGCTCCATCGTCCCTTCTGGGCCTCCATACATGTGCGGTGGTGACTGTGTCTGCAGAGACTCTGTCCTCTGACTGGATTTTACTGTTCTGCTTTGTTCTAAAATCAATAAAGTAAATCTTATCTTCTGGTTGACTCTGGACGTTTCTGGGCGGAGCTGGTGTGTTTCCTCCAGCCAATGACAGCACAGCAAGTGAGTTTAGGAGAGGATACAATTCAGTGATTAGACACGATTCAAACCGGAGAATATGACGGACATGGACGTAGCAACAAAGAAAAGAAAATATAATCATAGTGAGGAGAAAACACCGCCAGGGGGCTCTCGATCAATACTACAATAACAAAAGATGACGTCGAGGCTGGCGGGGAATCATGGGAGTTCTCTCTCCTACTCTAGCTCTGTCGTAACCCTTCGATCGCTCATTCATCGTCAGCAACGTGAACTCAAATCCAAAGGAAAATTTAGTCCTAACTCTCATCCATTTTTCTATTTTTAGTTCTTCCTTTTGTTGTGATTAAATATCGCTCTGTAGATTTGAAAAAGAGAAAAAGTCTACTTTGAGCGCTCTGTAAAAATATTATTTTGACCCTGTATGAACGCAGCATGGCTTCACTGTGTGTGTGTGTGTGTGTGTGTGTGTGTAGATGCAGGACAGAGAGAAGAAGTTCAAACACAGCCAGCGATACTCGAAGCGGAGCAGACATGCAAACAAATGCAGTAAGATGGCGATGAAGAGGAAAGACAAAAACCAAAGAGCAGAAAAAAACAACAACTTAGAAAAAGTCCAAAAAAACAAAGTCAGGAGAAAAAGGACGGGAGGGGCGGGGGGGGGGGCAGGGGACAACCCAAATGAAACAAGGTTTGTGTCGTGTTTATGGTCAAACTGTGATGAAAAAATGTAACATAGGGAAGAAAGTATTCTGCCTATAAAGCAATAATCACCTTCGCTTGGGATGACTAGAATGTACGGCGTTGTTATTTGTCCCCTACCTATTACCACTAAGGCCAAGGGCCGCACATCCCCGCCGGACAGCATGAGAGAGAGAGAGAGAGAGAGGGGGGGAGAGAGAGAGAGAGAGAGAGAGAGAGAGAGAGAGAGAGAGAAAACAAACAACAACAAAAAAAAGGAGAAAAGAAAAAGAGTCTAAGAAAAAAAGACGTATAGTTTTCTTTATCCATTTCATCAAGGTTTTGACCTCCCTGGTTTTCAATCTGTCTTTGAGGAGAGAAATTACAGCAGTGAGAGATAGCACTAGAACATATAGATCAATAGGTCAACTAGCACTCATGATGTGATCAGGGATATAACTCATGTCTTACTGCCAAGTGTCAATGAGCGTCTAGACTGGCCCGTTGCCTGGAGGAGGCCTGACGCAGTATGTGCTGCTGGTGATACCAAACAAGTGAGTCAGTGGAGGCAGATGGGAGGGGGGGGGGGGTGCTGAGGGGGTTAACACTTGGGGGTCTGTTAAGTCTGTCAGCTTGGTTTGACGGGTAAATTTAAAGTAAAGGGGGGCGAGGAAATGGAGGAGAAAACAAATGAAGTGATGGTCGAAAAGAAAAGGATGAACTTTGTGGCCCCAGAGGAAAGAGAATACTGACTGTAAACAAGAAGACATTTTGATTAAACTTCATACAGCAGTTGAGGCAGCTAGGTGGCTAAGGTTGGCCCTTATTATCGTTCTAAAAGTTCCAGACTTCCTTACTTCTTGCTTAAATTTTTCTGAGGCAGAGATAAGAAATAATCGTACTCGTTAAGCATCAGACCATAAGACCTCAAAAAGGTTCCATTCCTCCTCTCATGTACCACCCGGTTTGATGACCTCTAAGCTAGGTCCATCTTTGATGACCTGTTAGCTAGCATCAGTACCAGGTCCCAGTTTGATGACCTGTTAGCTAGCATCAGTACCAGGTCCCCAGTTTGATGACCTGTTAGCTAGCATCAGTACCAGGATTTCTCTGATGGATGTTCTGTTTCAGCTGTGGAGCTCCTGTCCATTTATCTCCACTGATACTATAAATCAAAATAAACAGATTTAGAGATTTATTTGAAAATAATCCGGCTGAAATAACTTAATTGTGATGCTGATCTGTAAAAATGTAAACTTGGTCAGGTCCTTCCGCATGTGGTTGAGCCAAAAACGAAAAAACACTCGTTTTTTTAATGGAGTTTGGTTCGACGATTTATGATCTAATCAGGAAAGGACATCTGGACAATGTCAACCCTAACATGCTTTCTTCATAGAGCGTCGCACCAATCCATCCATCGATGGCGCTGGGTTCTTTCTACTTGATAAAATGCTACTCATGACTAAATTTTGGCATATTTGAAGGATTTTGTCTTTGTCTGCTGAAAATTGCAGGAGTTAAGTTTAAGCCTGCCATGCTTAAAATGGATGTAGCTTTGGTCTACACAAAACACTTCCATAGTTTTTGTCCTTTAACGTGGTTCTTTGGCTGCATCCAGTCAGAAAACCTCCAATCTGATCTCTGCCTGGTACAGACGCTTGAAAGACTTCAATCTGCCCTGAATGACTGTAAGTACATGTAAGCTGCACTTATTACTAAAAACAGCTACTGTAAGAGTGGATAGCAGGTATCTTGAATAAATTAGTCAGAGACGTTTTGCAAAATTAGCCATCTGCATTGCCTCAGAACACTGCCCACACATCTAAAACTTTGCAACAGTATATGTCAAGAAGACGTTAAGTTTGTTCTGGGAACACTGACGACTCTACATATCGCTGAAAATTTGCATTCTGTTTGTTTGAAAGACAGCCACAAAGTTACAAGCATGTCTTTTCCTAAACACACACACACACACACACACACACACACACACACACACACAAACATGCAGACGGACAGGCAGAGCAGTGTTTACAGACTGCAGACCTCTACCCACTTTCCATTCAGAAGAAAAAAGAAATGTGCAAATGGATAGAGATAGAAAAAGGAATGACATAAAGGAGAAAAATGTGCACAAATGAGCAATAAACGCCCGATGCAGACGAGACGTAATAAAAGAACGAGGGAGACAGAGAGAGGGGAAGTGGGAAAAAAATCAAATCAGTGTTTAATGCAGATGAAAATAAAACAGGAAACAGAGACGAGGTGAGGTAAATCAATGGCGAGCTGAGAAAGCTTTAAAGCACATTGCCTGGCACACAAACGGGCATGTTTGCTGGAGATGAGCAGCGAGTAAAGATGGGCGACGTGGGGGAAAGCAAAAGGGATGAAAACAGGATGAAATGGGCTCTCCGGGGGCTAACGCTTTAGCCTCAAACCGTCGGGTTTAATGAAGGCGGTCAATCGGTATGTAATGGCCCTGATGTTCCACTTTGTACACTGATGAGCAACACGGACGCAGGATGAAATGGAAAAAGAGAGAGCAGGAAGAAGAGGGAGAATGTGAGACAGCAAAGGGTAATAAAAGAGTTAGATTAGGAGAGAAGAGACGGGGTGCTATGTGACGAAATCATGCAGGGTAACATGGTTAGGATGTGGGGTTTCCTGGGCTAAAGGTAGTGGGTTCACCTCTTTCTATGTGTGTGTGTGTGTGTGGGTTAACGAGTGAGTGTGTGTGCATCGATTGTATCTCTAGTGTGTTACTCTGTACTACGGGGTCATGTAATCTCACTTAGGCTCAAGGTAAACTACGCTTCAAAGTTTAAAGTCAGAAATTACAAAACGTAAAATGCTGCAAGAATCAGTGGAAGGGTGCTCATACCTTTGTTAGCCAAGCGGACGCAGTTGATTTTGGTTTCCTGTAGAGAAGAGAGAAGAAATGTTAAAGGTGACATATTATAAAAAAATCAATTTTGACAGTGTTTTTGAACATATATCTAGGTAACCTGAGTGTCTACAGACCCACAAAATGTGAAATAAACCCATCCAGTCCTTTTGTTTGTGGTCTGCATAAGTCTTACAACACAGAGAAAAATGCTCCGTTTCTAATGTGCTCTCCTTGTGATGTCACAGAGGGATTCTGGTAAAAAAAAATCCCCTGATATATCCACCCATGGACTCCACCCCCAGCCTAGAACAAAACTTTTGCGCAGGTTGGCCAGTTTTATTCTAGCTTCAGAGGAGTGATGTCTACAGGGAAAACTCATTGCATTTAAAGAGACACACACACCAAAACGGAGCGTTCTGAGAGAGCTGGTTTATACAGGGTCACAAACCTCCTCTGATGCTTGATTCATGTTATATTTTGACCAAAGCACAGCACAGATGTTTAATTTAGACCACAGGGGACTGTTTGAAAAGGTGGAGAAGGGGTATGATATGTCCTCTTTAAGGACACTTTTTGTAAGAAACATTGGGGACAAAATGCTCTATTTTAAGATGATTAAAAGTGCTCAGTATGTTTCCCAATACCACAATAATGTGACACTGTAATGACACTTCTAGGATCATTCCTGTGTGCCGTCCTTTAGCTCATTATTTTATTCTTCTGTTGAAATCAGGGGTCGTTTTTTGAGGAGCACAAAAGTCCAGCTCCACCTTTTTGTTTCTAGGTTGACAGAAAGTCGCTTTGAGACAGCATTTCCAAACATGCCATCTGCCATCATTGGGCTTCATAACTCCATACATTAACAGGACAGCGTCCATCATTGGCTGACATGGTCATTAAAAAAATCTTCATTCTGTATCACGTTGATGGATAAAGAGTGCCGTCTCTGTCTGACCTGTTGGTGTCCTATCGTCCTACATTAAGATGGTGTAAGAAGGATGCAGCACAGAGGGAGTCAGGGACAATACAGCCTGATGTTCAGTGTTTGGCTGCTCTTTCTTTCTTGAGAGTGGATTTTGACATGTAACAAAGCTGCGTAAGTTACCTGCTTTTTCCATTTCTACTGCGTGTGTGTGTGTGTGTGTGTGTGTGTGTGTGTGTGTGTGGAGCTGCCTTGTGAAGTTAAAGAGCAGGGAAGATGGATGTTAGTAGATGATGGATGGCGCGAGGCTCTCAGCTGGATCTCTCCACAAGACTAAACACACCTGCTTCTACTGCATCTCTGTCTTTTCTCTGTCTGAATGAATGATTCAATATCTGCCAGTCCATCTCTTTCACTGTCTCCTTTATCCAATTATCCTATTCCCCTTTTTGTACTCATGCTAAATATGATCGTATAGGCACCTAGCGTGTAGCTCGTCCAGGAACTCCAATGAATGCATGCAACATGTTTCTTTTTTGCCTTGTAGTCTCAACATACACTAAAAAACAGCTGATCTAAACTTCCCTGCAAAGCCTTACTGCAGGTACTATTCAAAGAGGAAAAAAAGTATTTTGGCACTAAGTTTGCTTGTTCATGAGGAAATGTTTGTTGCACTTGCCTTGATATCTTCTTAAATCTTTCTAATATCAAAGCCAAACAAAGAGCATTAATTACAAAACTGGAGTTAAAGGTCACATCAGCTGTCATGGTTCAGATAAAGCCAATAACCTCAGAGAGTAACCGAGCTGCAGACGACTCCACACCCGTCACAAATTTGGGGATCGAACCGCGGACCTTATCGAGACGACCGACTCTACCATCTGAGAACAAAGTGATCGGTTGATGAAGAGTTCAGAAAAATTGTCTTTTTACCGTTGTTCTCGGACTAATGTTGAAGTTAAGCTTCATTTTTTTAACCTCTCCTGCTGATCCCACTCTGGATTTTTATTCCTTAAACTTGACGACTGCCAGGTTTTTTGTTGTTGTTTTTTTTTAGTGTGCTGCTGTTTTTCTCTGTGCCACCAAGGGCGATCATTGAATGTGACATGTGGCGTTTAAGTGAAAGTAGAAAAATGCAACGCTTCACCAGAAAAACACAATTGCACAGCGGTGTACACTTAAAGTTCCTCTCCGACCTCGGCAGAGTCAAACACTTTTAGCCGCTCTGCAGGTTTGTGAAAATGCATCGACTGCCGAGTCTACAAGTAATCACTTTGATAGTTTGTCATCACTGATCTGCCTCCAGAAATGAAAATGATATCCTTTTAGTGCATGCACTTCTCTGCAGGGATGCATTTCTCGGCCCGAACATTTTATATTTGTCAACATGCAGCCTAACCAGGCCGGTAAAAAATAACTCTATACTTAATTAGAATCTGCATTTGTTTTAAATCTTTCCGGTATTTCCTCAAAGCGATGATATTGAAATGATAGGGTAGCATGTGTGTATAAACTATGTTATTAAAAATCTAAGTGGGTAAAGTTTCTCAGCGAGTCTCAGCAGTTCTACTTTAGACGTCTTGAGAATTCATCGTCTTTGTTGTGCCTCTCATACGAGCAGAGCCCTCCATCCTAAGTGTGCTTTACTCTCCACAAATAGTCACCGTGGGAATAAGACCAGTTCCCTGAGCAGCAGCAGCGACTTGTGTTTTTTTTTTTTTTTTTTTGGAGAAATTGGCCCTACAGTTCCTATTTACGCTGCACTCCCAGCGCCGGCTGCTCTGGCTTCTCAAGTCACTGTGAAAAGAAAACGCTGCCTCGTCCTCGCTCATGCTAATGTGCTAAACCTCAGGAGGCTGCAAAGAGCAAAGTTAATAAATGTAAGGCCAATTTATTGCCTGGCCTCTACCCTGAGAGGCTGCAAGACGAGGTGGAGCGATGGGGGGGGGGGCGCTGTTTACGGCGGAGACACTGGAGACTCAGTGTGTGTTTGTGTGTGTGTGTGTGTGTGTGTGTGTGTGTGTGTGTGTGTGTGTGTGTGTGTGTGTGTGTGTGTGTGTGTGTAGTAGCTAACTTTGTGCAGCCTGATCAGAATACTAAGTGTGTACGAGGCGCTGCAGCTGCTGTGTGGGTGAGCTCTCTGCGGATCCACCGATCCATCGCTCTCCTGCTCTCTCTCTCTCTCCCTCTCTCTCTCACATTCAGACAGGTGGTTGGGTCCGTTTTCCGACTCACAGGTAAAACATCCAATCGTCTGTTTCTGTCTTGACTTCTGGACACTTTGATTGGCAGACGGGTTTCTAAGGTAACCCAGGGTCACAACTTTTTTTCTGAAACTTTTTCTGAAAGTCGTCTTTTATTATTTTATTATTGTTTTATTTGTATTTCATTTAGATTTCTCTTCAGTTTAGTTTTAAATAGTTTTAATGCTGGTTTTTTAGTTTAGTTTGTATTGTGTTGATCGTAAATGGTTCAGCATTACGAAGGTAGGTCAAAGGTCACAGTGTAAATAAGTCTCAGAGCTCCTCAAAATATGTCTGTGAAGTTCTAAAACCACTCTGATCCTGTATTTGATCATCCCTATAAACCCCTCTATTTCAGCCCTGCCCTTTAAATATGTAAATGAGCTGTGTCTGACCACGCCCCCTCTCTGGAAGGATTCGGGTGTGCTCGGGCTTTCTCTCTCCATGTTCTATTGTTTACGGTGAGAAGGCAGACTCAGAGGGCAGAACAAACACCTAGCTGTTGGGATATAGTTTCAATTATTATTCAGAAAGGTTGTATTCTGTTGTGTTATTGGCATCATTTTTAAAACCCATGAAGAACGGTGATGTATTTGGTTCTTCATGGGCCGCCTCTCTTCACAGCACACTTATTTAAAAAATGAATGAAATTATTATTTTGTGTACTAAGTCAAGTTTGATGATTTTATTTTATTTTTTTATCTGGCTCCTGCATTTTCTTTTTTTCTGTAAAACTGTTATTTTTGAATTCCATCAATCTTAAGAGTTTGAGAGAAAACATTTTAATGAAATGTAAAATGTAACACACACACACTCAAACCTACACACACGCACACACGCACACACACACAATGCATTCAGGGATTCTGGAGTCAGCTGAGTGCATCTTGATTGACATCAACTGTCAGTTGGTAAAATCTTTCTTGATGTGTCTCCGGTAAAACCTCCACAATCTGCACTCAGAGGCTGAGTGTGTGTGTGTGTGTGTGTGTGTGTGTGTGTGTGTGAATGACGTTGATTGTCAGAGTACCTCGGCCAACCCCTGAGGCTTTTTACTTGTCAAAAAGGTGTGTGGATGCATTTTGCACAGCGCAGGAGGGCATGTTTTTTTTTTCTCTTTTCGTGCCACTGCTTCCTTTTGTTTTGTGACATTTCTCGCCCCATTTCTCCTCTTCCTTCTTTCTCTCCTTCCCCTCCTCCTCTTAGTTTCCTTTCCTCTCGTCTCCCTTTTCTCCTCCTCCTCTTCTGCACTTGCGTTCGTCTTTCCACCTCCTCCTTGCGTCTCCCAGCTTCCTTGTCTGTCCGTCTCTTCATCCCTGAATTTCACATCCTGCATTTTATCCATTTAACTGATGCTTTTATCCACCTTCAGTGAGTAAGCAATTGGTCCCTTCAACTGTGCCTGTTGTTTTTTTTCGGGCGAGCCCAGTCTTCTCTACTTTACTCTCCTCGTTTAACCCGTCCCTCTCAAACATCTCCTCAGTTTACCTTCGTTGCCTCCTTCAGGACACGTTCATGAAATTGCTACAACGTGAAGAACAAGCGTGCACTGTCGGAGGTTCAGAGTATGTTGACGCCTGAACCTTGATCCCGGCTGCAGGGATTTGCTCCCAATCATTGAAGGTGAAAAGGCCAGGCAGGCGGTCAACTCTCTACTTCATCTCCACGGTGTTGGACGAGGCCGGCGGTCCAGGCAGGCAGAGTTTTTCTGCACCAAAGTGTGAGAGCCGTTTTGACATTTATGTCCCAGATGTGGGAACTACAAAGCCAGATTAATGAACAGTACGTATCTTAGGTAACTAACCCTTACAAAGTCAGTCATTTGTGGTCGCCTAACATTTGTTAATCATCTCAGGGTTTCTGAGT